CGATCTGCTGAAGACTTACGTCTATCTTCTGTCCGTACCCCCACCTTTGATGCTCGCCTTCAAGATTTCTCGAGGGGTGCACCGTTCCTGTGGAACTCGCTTCCCTCCTCCGTTAGATGCTCACCCAGTCTCCACTCCTTCAAAAAATCGTTAAAAACCCACTTCTTCATAAAAGCGTATGAATTAAACTGCAAAAACATATAGTATACATAGTAACTATACACACATACACACATTATACATAGTAACTGGCTTGCACTCACGGTTGCTGAACTCAAATATTAGTGTTTCAAACTGGTAAATTGTATTACAATGATGATATTTTAAGTAAAAGTGACATTTTTTGCATTTTTTACAAACGAACGGCACTTTTATGGACTATATTATTGTTGTAATATGTTTTACTGTTTTAAAACAGTAATATTTGTGTTTAGTGAAGTCTCCCAAGAATAACAGTACCCCCCATGTTAGAGAGTCACATATAAGGCTTGCATTTCATTTTTTTTACATTGAATTTGCCAGATTGGTTATGTTGCCTTTGAGAGCATATGGTAGCCCAGGAATGAGAATTACCCCCATGATGGCATACCATTTGCAAAAGTAGACAACCCAAGGTATTGCAAGTGGGGTATGTCCAGTCTTTCTTAGTAGCCACTTAGTCACAAACACAGGCCAAATATTAGTTTTTTGCTTTTTTCACACAAAAACAAATATAAATGCTAAATTTGGCCAGTGTTTGTGACTAAGTGGCTACTAAAAAAGACTAAACTTACCCCACTTTCAAGACCTTGGCTTGTCTACTTTTTCAAATGGTATGCCATTATGGGGGTAATTCTCATTCCTGGGCTACCACACTGTCTCAAAGGTAACATTAATAATCTGGCAAATTTCAATTTGAAAATGGAACGTTCTATATTTGACCTTGTAACTTTCCAAAACACCATAAAACCTGTTAATGGGGGGTACTGTTGTACTCATGAGACAGTGCTGATTCCAAATATGTAATTTTTTTTGCATTAAAACCTAACAGTATTATGACATTTACAGCTAAAATGTCAGACGGAAATACATATTTTAAAAAAAAAAATCTTATTTTCTCAAATGTTTTTAAATTTTATTCATAATAAATTATGTTTCATATATGAATAGTTAATGATAATTTAAAGCCCTGTTTCTCCTGAACAAAATGATATATAATAAGTGTGGGTGCACTTAATGTGACAGCGGTGAATTACGGTTGAACAGACATATAGCGCAAATTCCAGTTTTTGTTTACGTTTTGTTTTGATCAGAACGTGCACTAGTGACTCCGTCATGAAGGGGTTAAAAGTATTCCCTAATTTTACAGAAACATTTTTTTATGACTTCTTTGATATCTTTATTCCGCAGACTGTATATAATTGGATTAATCATGGGAGTCACCACAGTG